CTAATTTGTGCTTACATGGGAATCTACTGCTGGTCCCTGGCAACAGGTGGTTTTTTGATTTGTCAATAAAGAACCAGTGGTCAATGGCTGGGCAGTAGGATAGAGGGGGCACTTTTAGGATTAATGAGCAAGAAACACAGAGACAGGAAGAGGGATTCTGTCATTAGGAGGGCGAAGGAGACAGACAACAGGGACCATGCAGGAAAAAGTGCAGGAAGGAGAGCCCACTGACTCCCCAGGGGGCACTCCCCGAACTGGGTCTGTGGTAGCAGAGATGAAATTCAGATTTAGCAAGTATTAACTCAGGAATATTGAGGGGGGAGTACGTTAGTCACATGGCTGTTCAAGAGTGGCCCAGCCATTTAGCATATTAAAAACAAGACTGTGTGTATGTGTCTTTAATCCAGAGCTCTTGGGCGGGTGCAGAGCTGTGAACGCACCTCACCGAGAACATAGAGTGGACTTTTAAATATTTACAACAGCAGCTTTGAAGATCCCTTGTGAAGCAAAAAGCTAATGAAGTTTGGTACATGGAAAAAGCCCAAGCCACTGGATAAGAGTCAAAAGTGAAGCAACCAGGACTGGAGAGAGGTTCTCAGTGGTTAAGACCACTTACTACTACTCTTACAGAAGACTTAGGTTTGGTTCCCAGCATCCACATGGTTGCTTACAACCATAGCTCCAGTGCCAGGAAATCCGATACTCTCTTCTGGCCTCTGTGGGTTCTTGCACTCATGAGATACGAATGTACTCACGAGGCACATGTGCAGGGACACACAGACACACCCCTCCTCCCAAAATAAATCTTTTGAAAATGAAGTATTCAGCTAGACACAGATTGCTGAGTATCTTGGGAAGGCTGTTTACAATTAAACACTAAGAGTCTGCAGCCACAACTGCTCTGGTTAATATATCTTCCCTAATACTCTTGTGGATCATCTCTTTATCTGTGATAACCTGAAATTCCTTTGAGTTCAGGATTATTTTACGATTATAATGTGGGGCTTACATGACTTTCACAATCACCTGACCTACTCACACAGGAAAGAAGCACATGGACCTTCCAACAAGATGCTGGGGCTCTACCTTTAATTTTGAGCATGACCCCAACTCACAGGGCAAGCTGATCTCACCACCATCTCCTGGTCCACCCTCTCCTTTGGTGAAGACATACAACAGGTGAACCTAAGGGTAAAGAGAGGCCGCTCCCTTTCTTACAATCTTAATTCATTTACTGGAGCTTCAGGCTAGACACCTGTGCCTCAGTCCCCTGATACCCAACCACCATAAAACCTAAGATCCTGTAACCAGACCAGCTTTCATCTCCTTTTGTTACCCCAAGGTTCCAGCAATCACTGCTACTGAAAATGTGGTCTGGCTTTGGCAATAAAATGAAATCAGTCAAAGAACAATAAGTGCAAGTCATCAAAATACTGTCTGGGACAAATCACATCAGAAAAGCTTAAACTTAGGAGTATCAAACATAGAGCTTCAACTAAGGGAGTGTCCCTCAGTACAAATAAGCTACACACACATGCTACAGAATATGGACTTCCTTGGCATTCTACTGCTAGAACTTTTTCACGCATATACCGGCCTCTGCAGGCTCTCTCTGTTGAACAGTCAAGCTACTGTACAATCCTGACTTCACGGCATCTTCCGCCTATTGGCTTACTGCAGCTCATCGACCACTCTCACTGTTCCAAACCATTTTCAATCTGCATGGTACCTCAGAGGACAAGTGATTGATCCTACCCACAGTACATCAACCCAAACCAACTGTGCATCATGCTCTAAGGGCCAATGACATCACAAACCAGGAATTCTGAATTGCTTTTCCATTCAAAGTTTACATTACAATGAATTGAGTAAATTTAGACCCATACTTAAGATTGACTAAAGGATGATTATTCAACTTTTTAATTAAGTAGTAAAATCCCTGGGTGCTTTTAAAACAGGATTTGGACTACCAAAGAAGGCTTGTATAACTTTTAAGCATATATTCAAATATTCTACTGGTGATATGTTCCTTTATTATGTCTCAAAGTGTTAAAAAATGAGCATTTGTGTTCATGAAGCCAGCTCATGGGAACCAGTTTATAAGCACCAATTCAAAAAGAGAAAGGGGAGGAGGAAGAATGAAGAAGGGGAGATAAGCTGTATGATATCATACTGAGACAGGGGCTCAGTATGTAGCTCAAGCTGGCCTCAAACACCTGATTCTCCTGCATCAGTCTCCCAGGCCCTGGATTAACAGGTGTGCATCATGACCTCTAGTGTTTACTGTCACTTTTAAGAATGGGCTACTTTGCAGAGCTGCTGGGTTTGTGTTATCTTATCCGTGATGCACACATACCAGCACTATTTGGTCTTTAAGCAAGGACGATGGATCACGTGCTGATCTGTGCTAAGAGGCTGTGAGAAGGACATGGTCTGTGACCATGGAGCAGGACAAGCTCCAGGATCAAGGACAGGACCTTGGCCTTTTATTATTATTTAGTATTCTACAGATGGTCAGCTAAAAATTCATGTTGTGGGAAACAGGAGGTCAGCATTTTAAAGCAAGGCCAACAATGAAGCGTTGGCAAGCAGGACTGTAAGAGAAAAGACTAGGATCCAGAGTAAAACCCTACACTGCTGATCTGATGAAGAATGGGAGTTATCAGGAGACAAACCTGCAGCTAGTATTAAGAACTCTACAACATAAACCTTAACCATTTGAACAAGGGTTTTCTCATTTAACTTAGGATAATATATTGTGAAATTCCTCACACTGTTTTAACATTCATTATTTTCAAGCATTTTGGCCAGGGACACCAGAAAAAAAAATCAGAGTAACAGTAAAATCATTCATTTTAAAAGGAAATTTCATAAGATATAGAACAGAATTTATATCAATTTTTATTTAAAACCTCTATTTTCTAAAAAACAAAATAAAATCATTATTGCATCTATTTAGCAAAACATTTTTATCAACTTTAAGTTTAATAGCAATAATAACATTTTTAGAGCCTCTCTTCTTCTCTGCCTCCCCCTCCCTCCCTCTCTTCCCCTTTGTGTGTCTCTTTTCTCCTCTTTGACCATCTATCCAGGGTCTCATGTGGTTCAGCCTGGCCAAGCATGATCTTGCATTTCTGATTCTCTTGCCACTCTTCCACTTCCTATGGCACACATGATCATGCCCAGCTTTATGTAGTTCTAAGGATTGAATCTCGGGCTTCATGCCTACTAAGCAAGAACTCTATTTACTGAGCTGCCTGCATCCCCAGCTCTGAGTTTTATAGATTACCTTCTTTCATTCAAACAAGTCACTGAGGTAAAGAGAAATATTATCTTCAATTTAAGATGAAAAGTAAAGTGAAAAGTAGATTTACCCCAAGACTAAAATGGCTAGAAAACAGTAGTTCCTTAATTAGCCTGAAATCTGATAGAGATTGTTAGAGGCTGAACATTTATATAAATCTGGTAAAGAAACGCCCTTAAAACTACACAGTATATTCCTATTAGCTACATTGAAAACATCAGTTTCACAAATGTGGGTCTTGCTCTTTATCTACTTACATCTCCACTGGTGACTCCTCTGCTCACTTAAACTTCACTTTATATAAAAGCCAAACAACACACACACACACACACACACACACACACACACACACACACACACAGCTGGGGTGGAGGGAAGGGAACCACTGACCCCTTGATTCATAATAAGGAAGAAGATACAGTGTAGTAATTATTTATTTGACAAAAATATTTGCCATTTTATTATATAATACATTTGAGGTGGCTTTTTAAGTAACAAAGTAGCCAACATTCTTTACCTGTAAGCACTGAATTAACACATCTAAACATTTACATTACCCAAAGAAAAGCAAAGCCATATGTGAAAAATCAGGCCAGGTGTAGCAGTACTAGGTTCTTGGACTTGAAGCAGCTATGTGAGGGTCATCCTTTATTTCTCTCAGAACATTAAGACATAGATAGTTTCTCTTAAAAATCCATAATAGAGAAAAACACCAATAGAAAATTCATAATAGAGAGCTCACCACAAAGTGAAACATTTAATTTATAATTTATCTTATTAATTTATATTTATCTTATTTTGAAGAGTTCTGACTTAAGCTATTTCCTATTTCCTTAACCAAGCTAGTATATACAGGAGTTATTAAAAATGCAGTGGCTTTCTGCAAGAATGTTCAGATTTACAGTGTCTGACACTGTCTTCTGGCAACACTTCCCCATAGTTTGTTATGTATATATACCTCAGCAGTAACTTCCAGCGTTCAAGTTCAAGCAGAGCTTAGATGCTTCTACTATCTAGCTAGTGCTCCTTTCAGCAAAGTCATCATGTAATCTTGTGTTATAAACGAGTAACACAACTACAACACATGTTTAGCAAATAATGAACAAGACAGATGTCTTTGTGTTGTTCTTGTTTTTTGCTGTTGTTTCTTTGTTCACTTGTTTTTTGAGTCAGGTTCTCGACCTGTAGCCCTGGCTGGCCTAGAACTCACAGAGGACTGCCTGCCTCTGTCTCCTGAGTTCTGAGATGAAAGACGTTTGCCACCACCCCAGGCTATTCTGGCTGGTTATTAGGTATGGCTAAAAAAAACTACTCTCCTTGGTTTCTAGACTCTTGACTTCCCATATAACAGTGAACTACTACGTATGTTAGAATGGAAACAGATCAGCCATGAGCAGCAAATGGCTCAGGTCAGTCTTTAACCTGAGCAGGGTTTTGCAGTCCTGTTACCCACTATGTTGAATGTATATAGAAGACACATGAGAATTGTTTGTTACGTTGTTAGAAAGTAAGCTGAGACAAGTGTGTTTGGTGATCAACTCTTTTCTACTTCCTGGAGACAAGGAGACAGACCCCATTCCTCTGGAATACACACGATAAATAAGAGCTGACAGAAATGAGCCAACAGACTCTAGATCCGTGTTTTTAGATAGAAAGAGCCAGAAAAAGATGACAGATTTCTAACAAAGCTGCTTACCTTGCACACGGAAAGCACATTAATATTTATCAGTTTCTTGATGGTCTGCAAAAAGATTGGATAATTTAAGTTTACTATGAAAGTAATGATGTTACAAATACACTTTGGGGTGACACATCTGAAGCTTCTGTAGATATCGCAAGGACCTGGAAATACAATCCAAGCTGGGGTTGGATTTATCTCAGCTTTATCTCAGTGTTGTGTTTGTAATTAATACGAATATGAAAAATGTAAGGTAAATGTGCAAGTCAAATTTGAACGTGAAGAGACACATTAAATCCAAAATAAAACACTTAGGAATTTCCTCTCAACTAATAGAGTGGAAATGACTGAAACTGAGAGCTTCAATTGATTTCAAAACCTGACATGGTCCTTCAGAGATGTAACTTCTTAGTTTTCATTAAAGGATTATGCATGAATCAAGGCTATAGCTCTCATTTTGGTAAAGCTAGTGTACTTGAATCAACTATGCTGCTACATATTAACATATTTATGAGTTTTTAAACTGATTTTTGATGTCCCAATACTTAAAATAGAGCTATCTTAATCAAATAAAAACAATAAAAATGAAATTAGAGCTACTATTGACCCTGTCACTGTCTAAATGACATCATCACAAATATTTCTTCATGCAATCCTTCTAACATTCCTATGAAGCTGACTATTTCACATTTAAGGGTGAATAAACAAACTAGCTATGGTTAGGTTCATCCCCACAGGAGCCAAGCTCTGAATTGCAGACAGCTGGACTCTGACCCTCAGTCAGTATTCTTCTAGCCCCACTGACACCTTCATGCATTCTTTGTGCTACCATAACAAGCAAACAAACAAACAAACAAGACTCACGTTGTCCAAGTCAGGAATTTCCAAAAAGTATTCTGGATACTCGTACGACATGCCCACATTGTTCACTGAAATTAGACAAGACTATTAGCTAGGACATTTGTTTTAATGATGTACTGAAATGTTGAGATTTACCTACTGAGACTAAAATGATACATATAACTGTATAAAATATAATTCCTGGCGAAGGTGTGACTTTCACCAGAGCTTTCTATCTCAAATCCTTATTACTGGAGTTTAAATGTCTTTTCCTTCAAGGAGCCTTTCTGTACTTACCATCTGTATGCCTTCCCTGTCCAGCTAGCTCTGCGGAATGTGTGTTCTTCCTCTACACTGGTCATCTACAGATAATGCCAACCACTCCTCAGCACCTTACACGTTAGAAAGAACACAGCATATAGTGCAGACGACTGGAAACTTGGGTTTTAGTTACACCCATGGCATAAAATGTGTGACCTAAATAAGTCATGTCCAGTTTACATCTAAGACTGTTCACTGCTAATGGAAGAGTTTACTCGGTCATGTGACAAATATTTGCCACATGCTTGTAGGCCAGCCATGTGCTGCTAGGAACTAGAAAAGGAAGCTAGGAAAGAGAAGGATTCTCCTATCATGGGATTTACTATCTAGTAGGGGAAAAAATGGTCCCAAATCCAAACAATCAATATTTCACAACAAAATGTCCAGAGTCATGATAGTCCATTCGTAGAGAGCCTCACTTTAAGGCTTTGTTGGGGTAGCCTAGAGGGCAGGTGAGACAAAGTATCTCTGACAAATGATCTGTGGAAGGCTGAGGCCATAGCTTAGCTTACCTTGAACCTTTCCTGCATAACCATCTAACCTCAGCTTGGCACTGGTACACTTATACATATTAGGTCTTATATTTGAATACTCAGTTATAGGCAGTTCCTCCAGATCCATTAAGACAAAGAAACACAAAATAAGGAACATTCCCAAATGAATAAAATATCCTTGACTTTACATAAACTAATTAACTCACAAGCTGGATTATCTATTTATGTACATTTATTTAATGGCCACGACAAGCCCATTAGGTAATTTCTTTTTTTTTTAAGATTTATTTTATGTATATGAGTACAATACAGTTGTCTTCAAACACACCATAAGAGGGGATTGGATCTCATTACAGATGGTTGTGAGCCACCATGTGGTTGCTCAGACTTGAACTCAAGTCCTCTGGAAGAACAGTCAGTGCTCTTAACCACTGAGCCATCTCTCCAGCCCCTGGTAATTTCTAAATTATGCCCTAGAAACTAAAATCCACAGCTCTTTAAAGGAGCCCAAGATTATGGGAAAAATCATGTCAGAATTCAAACTCAGAAGAGCCTCAACTCTAATCACTAAAACTGACATAAACCTTCACCTGGGAAGAAAGTAAGGGAAGTATTCTCATATCACTTAAGAAAAGTGACAACCAAACCAAAGTAGTAGGAAAAAAAGTTTTCAGTTACAAGAAAATATCAAAATTATGGTCAGTTTACTATAGCCAGATAAACCTGACAGGAGTACTTTGTCCAATAGACTAAATGAATAGTTGGAAGGAATGGGATAGCTTTCTATATTTAACTAAGTCTGTCACTTGAGCCTGGGTCTTCAGGTTTTCCTTGCAAAATTTCTGTGAGGATGGTTTGAACAGCTCACTAAAACTCATCTTAAAACACGAAAGCCAATTTGTAGGTTTAATGCTCAGCTGAAGAGGGAAAAAAATCTAAATAGCTAGTAACAGCATGTCTAACTTTATTTTTATCTTATCCTGCCCTCTACCAAGTGTCTCAGAAATCACACTTATAAAAGATGTTAAAAATTAAACCAAATAACCAGAGGTAAGGCCTTAAGTTCAGTTGACTTTAGTTTAATCACTGCTGAGTTATAAAGGATTAATAGTTAGTAATTATTAGATAGTTAATTATAAATCTTTTAAGAGCCAAAACTGGTGGCCTATTTTTGTTATTTTTCTGAAATCTAGAACTTTGTGAGTAGAACAGGTGACTTGAGATCTTAGCTTTAGACTTCAGAGCATCCGGTCTAAGCTTATGAGATAGATAAGTAAAAAGAGATGTTAAACTCAAGATGGCAAATGAACAGTGAGCTCCTGAGTCCCTTCTGCTTTCCTGTGTGCGTCCTCAGCTGTAGAACCAGGTTAGCTAGCACTCACAAGGAGTAATCAGTTCTGTGATGTGAACAACTGTTGCTCCTCTCAGCTCTGAGCCAATAGTAACTCCAATGGCAGCATCTTTGAATACTGACATTCTATATTCAAGGCATTTTGGATTCGGCAGATGCTGGATGAAGCTTTGCAATGAAGTCACCATCTCTACTTAAAAGACTTAATCCATTAAAGATGGGTGGGGTCACCTTCCACCTTCTTACTGAAAGCTCCAATCACAGATGAGACTGGAAATCAGGAATCATGCCTATAGCTGGAGGAATTTTATCACAGGGCATCATCTCTTCTCTGTACTACTTATCACTTCTAAAATCATTTCCTACCCCTCTCTCTACAACTATTTATATTCCTCCTGCACTCTTGTCATGTGAGGAGGGTATTAGGTTTAACTATCTGACTTTAACTGCCTACTAGTGGCTCCTGATGTACATGTGTGAGTTAGCAAATCTGTCTGCCATTTCTACTGATACTTTTATTATCAGGCCATTTCAGCAAATTGTACTATTAAATCTTCTGAGGGAAAGTTTGAGTACCATTACATGTAGGATTAGATTTTTAAAAAGCCTTCTTTAAATAAGGGGTTTTAAACACTTGACCTCCCCTTCTAGCCCACTGTCCAAAGGTAGGAGAGAAAAGATGATAAATAGGACAAGGGGATGTGGACCTGTTTAGAAGTAGTTTTTTGGGGTGCAATTCCAATCTCCATTTGTCAAGACACCAGCAGGCTAGTTTAGAAGTGTCAGAATAGCAAACACAAATCAGCAGTAGTGGCATAATCCAGCAGAAACCGCCAGGCCTCCACCAAATCCAAATGAGTCAGCTGGAGTGACCAGAACTGGCCAGGATGTCAGAAGTTCTCTGACATGCCTTTTTCAATGAAGTGAAGATCAAGGAAGATGGGAAACAAACATATTCTATTTATACTCTCTCCAAAAACCATGGTCCTCCCACGGGTATTGCTTCAGCAAAACATGTGGGTTTGCATCACATGATACAACCAAAAACTTCCACTTCAACTACACTCTTCAATAACTATTTCCAGTAAGTGCACAACAATGGAATCTCTTGAAGAAAGGCAAACCCACTGCAGTTTTATTTTGAGACAGTAGGTGACAGCAATAGCCAAATAGCAGATCGGAAGCTTCCAGTGAATGTCTGAAGGGAGAGGGAGTGCGTGAGTAGGAGTGAAAGATGGAGATATTCCCATTACAGCTTAATCTCATTAAGGATGGGTGTGAGCAGTGCCATCACTTTATGTCCTTATTACACGATATCGTACAGAAACAATCTCACAAGTTGTTCTAACTTTATTCAGAAAGTTAACCATGTCTTCTAATGGATGATATCTTTAATTAGCATTAAACCTGCACTGCCAGTGAGTTCTGTAGCTTTTTCCTCCAGGAACCACGGTTCTGTGTTGCTGCTCCCACCCCTAGGGCCTTCAAAACTCTTTTAGTAATAAACACATCATCTCATTCAGAAAGCAAAGCACAATTGCATAACTTCAGAATTCTCACTGTGCCAGTAATCAGCACAAGGCCTTGAACAGTAAAAATTTTCCCAGCACTCCTTATGAAGTTTTAAGACTGCAGAAGCCTGTCTTTATATTTTTTTGTCCCATTGCTGTGATAAAACACCCTGATAAAAGCAACTTAAGGGGGAAAGGATTCATTTCAGCTCACTGTTTTAGGTAATTTCCAGCACAGCAGGAAACTGAGAGCAGGCAGGAGAGAGAGCTGGAGGCCACTGTCCACACTGCATGCAGGTAGGAAGCAGCATGGTGAGCTTAGCTCATCTCACTCTCTCTTCCTTCTAAGGACCCCACCCTGGGAAACCAAACCACCCACTTTCAGGATGACTGTTTCTACCTCAATTAATCCCCCACAAGAATGCCCAGAGGCTAAATAATCCTTTAAGAGTATGTTTGACAGCTTGTCTTCTAGCTGATTCTGGATCCCATCAAGCTGGCAGTTGAAATCAGGCGTCACAGGGACCAATGGAACAGCTGATACTGAGAGAGAACAGAAGCATAGACAGACCAAGAACAGGGAAACAGAAAGGCACTGGTAGTGGGCAGAGATACCATCCTCATAAACCCATGGAGTGGCTAGTTGCAGGGAGGACTGGCAGGGAGCTCACGTAGCTACACTCTGAGGGCTCATTCTGAACCACAGAGAATACTACTGTCAACGTGATGCTATATTAAGAAAGAAGACTTGGAAAATCCAGAGTAATTCTGGGCGGTTTACTAACATTTTAAATTATCTCATATTACTTAGAATCATTTCCACATCTTATTCTTTTAAACAAAACAAGATCTTGTTCCTTCAAAGTTCATGTGCTACTGCTCTCCATGGCCTAGAATTCTCTATCCCAAGCAGTTGCCAGAGATAGAATGATGTCACTAGAAAAGTAGATTTCTGGGATCTGGGTTGAACATGAGAGTGGAGCACACAACAATAAATTACTAGAAAATGAAAATCCATTCATGTACTAACCCCACACAGACCACTTCCAACTGGCTTCATTTTTTTCATTAAACAGAAACATAAGAAATTAATGTGGTTTAAAAATACTTTGTCTAATGGCTGGGTTTCCAAATATAAATCACATAACATGAAGTATTCTGTTTCCTTCTTATGACACAAAGGCAGAAAAGATAAGCTTACATTTCAGTCACATTCCTAATTATACATATGAATCTAGTTCCAGCACTGAAAACTCATTAGTAAAGTCTGTTTCGAACAATGATGTCATTTCACTTTATTTTTAAATAAACTTTGTTTTTGTTTTGTTTTTTTTTAATGTAGACTTCTAGAATAGTGAACATATCAAAGGCTCAGGGGTGTACATGAGGGAAAGAGTGAGTGAGTGAGTGTG